AAAAACAGCAAATATGAATCTATGATCTCTAAAATGACAATGGGTTTTTGAGAGGAGAAAAACATGCTTCAGAACCAAACCAGTATGAAAAACGCAGAGTTAAAGAAAGTTAAATCGATTTTTTTATTCAACTCATCTTGTATCATTTACTATGCTAATGTCTATTGGAAATTTCCAAAATGGACTAAAATATGCAGCATTTTTCAACCTTCTTTGACTAGAGAGCCCTTTTTTTTATGACTACTGAACATTGTCCAAAAAGCGATTCCAAACAGCAGAATCTAGGAGCCACTTTATCTACAACGTAATTTTCTTAATCTTCAATACTGCTAGAAATCTCTTCTAGAAAGAGGCAATGGGATGGATAAACAGAGATAGAGAGAAGTTTTGCTTTTTTTTTTTTTTTAGTTCACCAAGTCTTTACATTTGATATTTTACCATGCACAAGATATTAATACCAGAAACTAAATATAAGCTCGGCCAAGTGTTTCAATTATCTTTTTGAAAATAAGGAGTTTTCTCACATAAGTCCGTTATTGACCAACAGTATAATGCTTGATTTGCATGTGTCATGTTATTTGCAGACTACTCTATCTGAAGCTATTTTATGCTAATGTCTATTTTATGTCCTTTCACTAGGTTGAAAGTATTGATATCAAGTCTTTTTTTTTAAGCTTTCAAAGTTTATTAGAGAAAGAAGAGAGAAAAGAAACAGCAACATGCCAGAGTTGGCACTGGTGAAAGAAACCCAAAGTAATGAAGAAGCCCAACAAATACATCAACTAAGACCTCTACAAAGTACTGCTCTAGTCTGATCATTACCACTAAGGCAGTAATCAATATTTAAAACTTAGATGACATGTACTCAATATATATGTTTAAGGCATTCTGTAAGAGCCATATGGATACTAAAACAGATAATACCTTAAGGGTGCCTTAATATCTAATACTCTCTTCAAGGCGTTTATAATTTACAAGGGAATCAGAAGGAGGGGGAACCAAAAAAAAAATGAAATTATCTTTTGGATGGTGGGCCCTCTGAATCAGTCAATAGAAGTTTTTATCTGGAAGTTTTGAGAAGGATGCATCATGATTCGTGGAAAAAACATCCCAGGTTCTTCCACCATGTCAACATACTTGTTCATATAGCAGTGAGTGTTCAGCATTTTTTGACCAAAACTGGCATTACACCATGGGCCCCACCCTCCCTATTCACCCAATCTCACCCTGAGGGATTTTTTGGTTTGTTTGCTTCCCTGGGTGAAAAAAGAATCCTTAGAGGGAAATGTTTTGCCAAAGTGGAAGAGTGAAACAAAAAGCAGCAGACACACTGAAAGGCATCAAAACTAACGCATTCAAAAATGGTTCTGAGCAGTGGAAAAAGCATCTCGTAGGTGTATTGCATCAATGGAGAGGACTTTGAAGGTGACTAAGTGTAACATGTAAGAATAAATACACAGTTTTTTAACAAATAAATTCTGTTGGGGGGGTTCCCCCTCATATGTTAAAAGGAATAGGAATAAAAAGAAAAAAAGAAATATTTTTGCATCCTGGTCAAAGAGGTAATTTCAACCAATGAACTACCTTTCCTAGAGCCTAGAGGTTTGACAAACATTTAACTTAAAAGACCCTGTTATTGTACTTTCTGAAGAGTAAAGTTTACTTTTAAGACTGTCAGGATATTCCTACTTTATGAACTTCATTGGGTTTTCATGAGGATCCAATGACGCTATGGTTTGAACATATCCCTCTAAAATTTATGTTAAAACTCAGTTCCCCATTGTGATAGTGATTAAGAGTTGGCGCCATGAAGACTGCATCCTTTTCAATGTATTAGACCCTTAAAAAAGACTTGGAGTTGAAGGGGACACTCCCTAACCCTTCCACCTTCCACCCATGTGAGGACACAAGCAAAGTCACCATCTTGGAAGCCAACAACAGCCCTCACTGGACACCAACATTGGTGCCTGGATCATGGACTTCCAGCTTCCAGGACTGTTAGAAATAAATGTATGTGTTTTACAAATTACCCAGTCCTAAGATATTTTGTTAAAGCAGCCTAAAAGGACTAAGACAATTTTTTAAAAAACAGATATGAAAAAACTTTGAAGAATTCTTAAATATATTTAATAAGGTAAAATTATTTTAAAATTGAAGATTATGCTTCTGTTTCATGATTTGTAGGAATCAACAGGGTTCAATGACAGAGATCCCCAGTTGTCATCAAAATCTTCTGGCATGTGACTACCTAGCCTTGTTTGTAAAGTTTGGCCACATGTCCACTCTCGATTCAAGTTCCCCTCTCAGGCCTAGGTCGCAATTTCATGGGCATTTAGTGCTCTCCCACACTCTTTTTAGTGCCAACTGGAGTCTTTTGCAACCAAGTTTCCCTCATGAAAATGACAAAAGGGCAATGAAATAATCTGATTGCAACAAATTTGCATCCCTGTATAAAATAACAGTGTGGAGCAGAGCTACTCAGCAATCTGAAAAGCTCAACTCACTATATTTATAGGAGATAAACACATGTGAATTGTTGAATAACGCTCTACAGAAAGAATTTCATTACCTGAGTTCAAGTCCAGGTTTGCCTTGCCACTGCCTGACTAGGTAATCTGAGAAAAATCATTTCCTAATTTCTAAAACGAGAGTCTGGCTAGATCAGTATTTTAATAAGTGTTTCACAGAATTCCCATTCTCACATTTTTAAAAATTATTTCAGAGGGATGTTTTGGTGGAAGAGGGAAGGATAGGTGCCAGTGGAATAGGAAGTCATAAGAATAATCAGCATGTTGGTTTATAGACCCCACTGTTTCTCCCTCAACAACCAATGCAACTCTGTTTAATATGCTGGGTATAAAAAAAGCATCTGAATAAAGAGCTCTGCAATTAAAAATATTTATCAAAACCACAATGCTATAAAATTAGTAAGATATATTTTACATTCCATTTCCGTATTTGCAAATGTTTAGTTTCTCGGTAATGATCACAAATATTTCTCTGAAACATCTCTGCACTTTTACTCAATCACATTTGTGATCAATGACACATATTTCATGAGTGACCTGACAAAGTTAGTCTAAGAGTCCATGGTATTAAAATGTAATTTTCTTTGTGCAAATTAACTAGGGTGTCCAGGGATCTAAGATATGATCTTGACCTCATTAATTTTGCACTTAAATCAACTTATCAAAAATAAAGAATAGTAAGAAGTATCTAGCTGTATTTAATAAGTTCATTCATGTCCATTTGGTGCCTTTTCAGTTTGCTTTGGCAGAATCCTGGACAACAAATATCGAACTGTTTCATGTTGCACTAATGTCTGTTAAACTCAATACTCCACCCCATGTCCCCTGTAATGATGTCCATTGCATGCCATTCTGTTATATTGGCAACCTTTCCTTTAACTCACTAACAATCAAAATCTAATGTCTGGATTCTCCGAGGTTACTTTCAAGAGTTGTCATCTCTTGGTGGCCAGACTTCAGTCCTCTAGGTGACACAACGTAACACTCATAAACATATGTCTAATATTCAAATCATTAGCATTCATTATACCATGACATGAATTGATTTCATTTTTTGATAGTTTCTTTATACTCACCATCTCTGTTGACATGCTGAATTATTCTTTCATATGTTTATTTCTAAAACTCTAAAACATCCTTGACATTAAAGATCAGTGCAAAATTATAGCTTCAACTTTTAAATCAATGAGAGCTAATGTCACGGGATTTAGATTTTAATAATGCATTCTTTTCAATCAAATCATTATTGCTAAAAGGTATAATAAATATACATACAAAAAGTAATGGTGTTCACTTATTTTGTGACTATAAATCCCATGGCATTTCATTTTGAGCATGATATCACCATTGCATGGGTAGGCATTGCCTTCTTCTACAAGTACCAGTCTATTAATGGAGAATTAAAACATGGCTGGTGGTGGTGGTGGTGGTGGTGGTGGTGGTGGTGGTGGTGGTGGTGGTGGTGGTGGTGGTGGTGGTGGTGGTGGTTTTTTTGTGGACCCTGTGGAGAGAGCAACTGTGACCTCAGTGCAGCAGCTCAGTGAGAACAGGGCTGGCGTCTCTGGCCTCATGGCATTTCCATCCTGGATACAAGAAGGATGACTCAACCCAGGCATCACATCCGCGTTCAACTAAAAAGGACTCCAGGAGCGCATCAGCGTCACATGGGACCGTATTATCAAGAGAGTCTCCCCTTTCCCGTGAGCCTCTCCGCAGTCTTCCATGTGTGTTTCTTAGGGGAGGAGAGTGTCCCAGGAACCTTCCAGCCAGAGCGAAAAGTCAGCTACAGGAATGGCTGTTTTCTGGATTCTCCTTCCCAGTCCCTCACCGTCCAATCACCCAATAAACGCCTTGTTGGCGTTTATCAGTAGGTATTTGTCCGCAGAAATTGAAACTCTCTAACGGATAACTACAACACGCCGTATTATCATTGTGAACATTTCCATGGTTATCCTGATATGTAAACTTTCAGGCTAACAATGGAAACGTTCCAGAATCACAGTAGCTAGCCGAATTCTAGGTGGTCTCCTGCTACCATTTCTCCTGTAATACACAATCCAGATAACTGCCCCCACCACCCTGATGCCTGGTCATGAACTTGATGGGCTTGCATGTCGTGATTGGGATAATGCAGGTAAATGCAGTGGGAAGTAACAGGGTGGGTCTGACTCAATCATCTGAGCCCTTTATGAGGGGCTGAGCCTCCTTGAGGTCACAAAGCCCTCCAGCCATCCTGAGATTACCTCGAGGGAGGGCCGCCGGTGCTGGCCGGGAAGACCCCGGGGGATTCAGAGCATCGGGACCTGTGACCTCCCCACTCGCGAGCTCGTAAGTTCAGACCGGGGAGAGAGGTGCTCGGGGTGGGGACGTCCCACGCGTGGATCCACACTCACGGGCTCTGTGAATCGCGCCCGCAGCCGCCGCCCGCGCCCGCCCCGCTCAGCCGGGGACAGAGGACAGGCCGGCCCCGCCATGGCGCGCACCAAGCAGACCGCCCGCAGAGCCACCGCGGGCATGGCCCCCAGGAAGCCGCCGGCCACCAAGGGCAAGGGCCAGGGCCAGGGCCAGGGCCAGGGCCAGGGCCAGCGCGCGCCCCCGGCCGGCGGCGTCAGGAAGCCCCACCGCTACCGGCCGGGCACGCGCGCCCTCCGCGAGATCCGGACCTACCAGAAGTCCGCCCAGCTGCTGCTGCGCAAGCTGCCCTTCCAGCGCCTGGTGCGCGAGCTCGCCCGGGCCGTGGCGCCCGACCTGCGCTTCCAGGGCGCCGCCGTCGGGGCGCTGCAGGAGGCCAGCGAGGCCTACCTGGTGCGCCTCTTCGAGGACAGCAACCTGTGTGCCATCCACGCCAGGCGCGTCACCGTCATGCCCAAGGACGTGCAGCTGGCCCGCCGCCTGCGCGGAGAGCGTGCCTGAGGGTCCCGCTCCTGGGAAACCGTTCGCTCCCAGGGGGGAGGAAGAGGTTTCTTCCCTGTTATTGGTAGTTCTGAACGTTCCTAGTTTGGGGTTTTCTCCATGAGCTTCAAAGGTGCCTAAGCATATGATGGGGTGTGGGAAGTCAGGCCCTGGCAGTTTTTCTTTTTCTTTTTTTTTTTTTTAATAAGAGTTCAATAAAATTGAAGGACCTAAAACATTAGGCAAAGACCAAATGTATCAGTGAACTGGTTTCAGCAGTATAATTTTGTAACATAAGTAAATCTGTTCTTTTTTTTTTTTTTTTTTTTTCCTGAACAATGCTTGCATTTGGACTTTGGGAAAACAAATAAATATCTTACTTTTCAAATAGAAGATTGCATCCATACTTTAAGTTGTCCTAAATGCAACTGCTTGCTTTCAAAGTTTCCTGTCTTTGCCGTTCTTGGTAGCTTGATAGTAAAATACGTTAAATTATGTTTTTTTAAACGCTAATATACTCCCTATCTACAAATGACTTCCCATTATGGGAGGGAAACAACAACGTGTGTGTGAGAGAGGGAGAGAGAGAGAGAGACAGATACCCAATCGTCTGAGCCCTTTATAAGAGGAGAAGTTCCCATCAGGAGTTTGATACGGTCCATCACCAGTAGGGCAATGTCTCAGAGCATGGTTATTACTGTGGCCAATATGGCCAAAGTCTAGTCCAGGAACATGGCAGAAGAGGCCCTGAATGTCTGAGATTGGGGAGAGAGGCCCTTCCTGCAGCCCAGTCATTGGACACCACTGCTTGGTGGTTGAAGCCCAAGGGTCACATTTCTATCAAGTACAACAAATCATGTGATTTTAGGTTCATGGCCAGATAGAAAGAGCTGTGCATGAGGAGAAAAATACTGGTTCCAGCCTTCCTGTAAGGGAAGACTCTGCTCTTGGTCTGGTCTATGTAATCCACCCTTGACATAATCATGATTTTAACAACTTTTTCAAAGTCTGACATGTCCTCATCTAGATGAAGGCAACTGGCTGTTACATAATCACTTTGGCTACGTACCTGGATCTCCTTGGGCATGTTGAGGCATTTTTCTCTTTTTTCCTACTTCTAAAAAGAAAAATTCATGGGCCTTGAACAGCCTACAGTCAGAGAACTGCTTTCAGAGGGAAACCCCTTCAAAGTGGCTATGATGGTTTCACTTTGAAACCTGAAATATATATGACTTAGGAGTTTGCTTATGCCTGGGTTCAGTTTTTCAATCATTCTCAGTTAACAGTTCCTCTTTGCTGTTAAACCAGGGAGGAAAAAGGGTATTATTGATGAGATTATGACTTTCTTTCAAAAAAAATACTATTTTGATGAAAATGTATTAAAATTAACTATTTAAATTTTTTAATACTTTCCAGTAGAACAGTTGAACATGGCGTGTCTAGGCAAAAGAGCAACAGGTATAAATCTGTCTTTCTCATAATCTTCCCAGAAATTGAGAAAGTTGGATGACTATAGTAATTAAACAGACAATGACTGTTTTGAGGTCTTTTTTCAGTTTAGGTGGTTTCAAATTTTTTGTTTTTAACCAAATTGCAGAAAGGCCTAGTAAGTTGTCAGTTCACTGGTCACACATAATTTTTAAAACTGGATCACTATAATTTTTGGTGTATGATTCAGAAGAAATTTGTGTACTTGAATTGCATTGCTGTGACATACAAGCTTTTTCAGCTCTTACATCTTTAAAAACAAAGACAGTGGAACACACGATACAGAATCATCTCATTGTAGAAATAGTAGTATTCTCTCTTGAATTAATTAAAATTAAAAACTCATCCATCTCAACAGGAAGCCCATTTACAACAAAATCCCTTTGGGAGACCGAGGCAAGAGGACTACTTGAGACCAGGAGTTCGAGACCAGCCAGGGTAACATAGCGAGACCTCGTCTCCACAAAAAAGTCAAAAAATTAGCCAGGCTTAGTGGAGCACAGTTGTAGTCCCAGCTACTTAGGAGTCTACGGCAGAAGAATGAGCATGCCACTACACTCCAGCCTGAGTGACAGAGTGAGATCTTAAATAAATAAATAAATGAGTAGAACAAAGGGAATGGAATGAAACTTCAGGAAAACCTTAATTTGTTAGTAGCACATAATATAACCATCCATGAAAGCTGCCAAAGATTTTCTCTAGAAATGTATTGATGTCTAGAGATTCTCTTCTGGAGAACTGTGACTATGTGACATTCTATATTAAGAAGGTTCAGAATGTGTAAAAATACCCAGCCTTCTCAGCTAAAGCATCTTTCCCCTCTTAAAAAAAACAGTGCCGTGGCCCCACTCCAGAGCTGACCTCTGAGACTCTTGATGGGAAGTTGTTTCTGTCTTCAGAGGTTCAGCTGAAGCCAGACGGCACTGAAAACACTGAGTTCTAGGGCAACCAGAAAACCTAAACTTCTTGTCCAGTGGCCACCTGATCACCTCCTGGGTCAGGTTCCCTTCAGCATCTCCAGCATTCAGAACACACCACATCTGCCAAAGCAGTTTCCAAGACTCACCATGGCACGTGGGAAAGGAATGGGCCGAGAGTAACATCGAGATTGGGAGACATTGAATCCCTGGTAGCTTCTTTTGGGGGCTCAATCACTTGAAGTCCTGAGGGAGCCCTCCCCCTCCATCAGTTCCTCCAAGAACCTATTCCCTCCAGGTCCCTCTTTGGACCTCCTGGTCTAACTCGTTAGACTCCTTCACACGGGTTGTTGGTAAAAATAAAAATTAAACAATGTCAGAATATGATGGTGTGAAATAGAATTTGCCCATTCTTGGTACAGTTTAGAAATATGTGTAATACCCAAACTGATAGATTCTTTGATAAGTCCCCTTTTAAGGGCAAAAGCTGTGTGTAAGAAGAAATAAAACAGCATTTTGTGTGAGTGTGTTTAAAGTAATTTTAAAAATAGATGTTTCTCTCCAATATTAGAGACTCGGGAGAGGGGCTTTCACATGCTTTTCGCCTGTGACTAAGGGCACACATGACAAAGGTAAGTAGACTGAAATAGCATTATAGACATCAGGAGCTGTGTCATGAATGTTCTTGGTAATTTGATAATAAATCTTGGGCCTTTATTTTATGATTTAAATAAAATTTACAATAAAAGTGAAATCTTTTACAATAAAAGTGAAATCTTCACAAATAGATGACGGAATAACTTTGTGACTCTTGATAAACATACTTTGTCCAGTAGTTTAGCAATTTCTTTTCCCGTGTTGCTGTACCCAGGTTTGATTTTCTGAGTGGATCCCAGTAGAATGGAAAAAAAACAAGAATGAAAAATCAACAATGTCTGGAAATAAATGTTGTTGCCTATAATCCCCATACTTTGGGAGGTTGAGGCAGGAGGATTGCTTGAATCCAGGAGTTCAAGACTAGTCTAGGCAACATAGAAAGACCTTGTCTCTACCAAAAAAAAAAAAAAATCAAAACATTAGCTAAGCATAGTGATGTGTGCCTCCAGTCCCAACTACTTGGGAGGCTGAAGCAGAAGGATTGGCTGAGGCCAGGAGGTCAAGGCTGTAGTAAGTAATGAGCATGCCACTACACTCCAAACCCTGAGTCAAAAATAAAAATAAAGTAAAACATCACACAAAATATCATTGCAAATGACTGTTTACAGACAGGTGGCTTTTTAGAATCTGTTTTCTCTCTCCAGTCTCATAAGACTCTCCTATATTATGTTACTGTTCTCTCTGACATAAATCACAATAGGTAAAAATATGAAAACAATCATTTTAGAGGAAAAAATGCTTTGTGATTTATTTTTATTTTTGCTGGTTGGAAAACAGTTTAATGATGACTCACAAAAATCCATAGGGAAATATAAAATAAGTACAAGGAAAACAATTCCAGTGCTCCTACTCAGGAAACAGTCTTCAGGGTAGAATATCACAAGGGGAAAGTGTCTGGATGCTTCACCTACTTAAACCTAGACATAAGTGTAAAACCTAAGAGACAGCAATTTCAGGCTTCCATGTGAAACCATCATAGCCTCTTGGAAGGAGTTTCTCTCTCTAAAAGCAATTCCCTTCCACAGGATGCTCAAGGACCATGAACCTTTCTTCTTCCAACTAGGAAGACTGAAATAAGTCTCAATATGTCTTAGGAGGCCCAAATATTTAGTAAAAATGACATGGAACAAGCTGCTGCCTTCATCTAGATGAGGTCAGTGTCAGAGTTTGAGAACGATGTTAAAATCATGGTTAAATTCAGGGTGCCCCAACATATACCAGGGGACAAAGTTCCCTCATGAACAGGCCTTTACATGCAGGCTTGGGCCTAAAACAATATGATTTTTTTTGTATTTGGTGTTGGGGAAGTGGTCCTTGGGTTTTAACCTCCTAACAGCCTCCCTCAAATGCTTGGACTGCAGCAGGGGCATTTCTCCCCACATCTCACAATTGTCAAGGGCCTCCACCACCACCACCTCGACTAAGATCGAGGCCAGTCCAGCCGTGGCAATGACCAGTTCCGGACACGCACCTACAGGTCATGGACTTCGAATGGGTGTCTTGGGAAAGCTGGCCAGTGATACATTATAGTAGCACATGGTATAGTTTTAAGTCTTTAGGGACAAGTTCAGATGTCATCTTCTGAACTTCCTCTTCATCCACAGTCGGCCCTGCCTCTTTCTTTTGTTTGGTGTATATCGTGAACAAAGTTTTCTAAAAAGAATTTGGAAGATAGATGTTATTTATTCCTGTGAGCAGTTTGCAAACCAGGCAGATTCCACCTTTGGTGTAAAACGGAGGTGCATTTCAGAGACCAGAGGTGTGATTTGGCTTTTACAAAGACAAAGTTCCCACTCAAATTCTCAAGCGTATCCATTTATGCACGTGAGAGTCAAACCTGCTTAGTTCCTATCGGTCCAAAGAGTTGGGCTTTGATTGGTTGAAAAAACTGAGACGTAATTGGTTATACAAGGCTGGTGAGCACTGACTGGCTGGTTCAGATGAGCTCTGAAAACTTAGAGTGTGAGTTTTCCAAAAACTCATAATACCCATGTGATCTATAGTCAGCAAATGGTTGCCAGGCTCTGTTTAAAATTTAGTCCTCTGCCACTGAAGATGGGTCTTGGAAATTGGCTCAGGTTTACATTTGTTCACATTTTGTCTTTCGTGGGCAGCAGAGAAAAAAGGATGCAACCTTCTTGTCACTTGCCCTTAATCTGAGACATCATGACACTTGAGCTGGCTTGCTGGACTCAGGCTTCTTTTCAGATCCCACTTCCGTCCTCTAGGATTCTGTGTCGGTGGCCCCAGAGTGCTGCGTACTTCTCATCAGACACACCTGTCAGCCCACCCGTGTCTGTGGGTGATGTGCAGGCCTGGCATGGCAGCAGTGTGGAAGCAAAAGCTCAGGCTAGGATGGTTTGATGATCAATCTATAATGTGAATGCTGAAAGGTTTTAGTTGTCACAGGTTTCTGCAACAAGTGAACCTGCCCCACCCACCACACACACATACACAAACTGGTATTTCTCCCTTGCACACAGTGAAGAAACATGCATATAAAGTATATTAGTTTTTTAATAGTTTATTATACTCTCACAGCAAACTTACAGGATAGCCCAGAAAACAGGCCACTAAGAACATACAGTTGCCTGTGAGCTCACTCCAGGATAAAAGTTCATCAAAAACTGTTAGGCTTCATCAGTAAAAAATACACTTGTTTGCAAAATCTGGACTTAGACATTGTCCAGAAAAACTCAATAGCTTTATAATTTTTATAAAGTTAAACTTCTGAAACTTGTTCACTGAGACATCTGGACTTGGCACTAATGATTTAATTCCCTCGATATATATTAAAACTTAAGAAACAATTTAAACTGGAAAAATAGCCAGTGCCTGACATCTGTCCTCTGACTTCTCACACTCCATCATGTGCTTACTTTTGAAGCTCATGAAGAAAAAACAAAACTAATAAGAACTTGGGACGTTCAGAACTACAGAGTAACTGGGGAGAAACTTCTTCCTCCCCTTGGAGCGAACGGTTTCCCAGGAGCGGGACCCTCAGGCACGCTCTCCGCGCAGGCGGCGGGCCAGCTGCACGTCCTTGGGCATGACGGTGACGCGCCTGGCGTGGATGGCACACAGGTTGCTGTCCTCGAAGAGGCGCACCAGGTAGGCCTCGCTGGCCTCCTGCAGCGCCCCGACGGCGGCGCCCTGGAAGCGCAGGTCGGGCGCCACGGCCCGGGCGAGCTCGCGCACCAGGCGCTGGAAGGGCAGCTTGCGCAGCAGCAGCTGGGCGGACTTCTGGTAGGTCCGGATCTCGCGGAGGGCGCGCGTGCCCGGCCGG